GGGGGGTCCAAAAATCGTTCTCTAGGAATATACCTTCCTTTCTTCTTTGTATATTCCAGAGTATTAAATATACGCTGTTCAGTCGAAACCTTCAGAACCATTGAAAAAAATTTTTCTGTAAAAAGTATATCAGAACTGAAAATTAGAATTTGCTAATTACAATTTTGCGAATGTTCTGAGATTCATTAATTATTAAACAATAAATTCCAAAGAAAATACGTTTTGTCACACATTCAAATTTTTTAATCCCTATATTTTTTAAACATGAATTCAAACCTTAAAACATTAATTGGCTATCTCTGCATGAAGGTTGTGAATCTGATGCAGAGTGTCGGCAACCTGGTAGTAATATACACAGCATGGGATGTACAATCACACCAGGACGAATAAGAGGGGTAAACCCAATTTTAAGAATGGGACTTTTATACTTCTAAAAAAGTTTAATGTGAATCATGTAGTTTCTAATATTCGATCTGTTCATTTCTTTAATAATTGATTTTAAAGCTTTACAAAAACTTTAAAAATCTCGTCCTGTCTGACAATAGTGAAGTAATAGTATATTGAAGTTTGAATTTTAATACTTACATTTACACAAACAGAAAAATTTATCTGCATTATGAATTTATAGAAATATTGCATTAGGTTGGTAAGTTTTTTGTTTATCTCTTCTTTCAGGGTCCAAATTTGGCAGTGTAAGACAAGCAATTGTTTTCAAAATTGTTTATTCTTAACAATTTGTTTCTCTTAACTATGCCAACTTTTGACCTTTATAAAAAATAAAACAAACCTAAACGATTAACAACACTAGCTGGAATGTAAAACAATCTTAGATCCGAATAATCCTATGGACTGTAAACTTGACACCACTGCTGATCAAGCTGATCATGAAAGAACCTTGCTCTTGATTCCCTGACTGAATCAACAGGGAAAGCCTACCACTGGATTCAAATTTGAATCAGCAATTCAATTACTTCCTTAATCTTTAACTTTGAATCAGTGCAGTTGAGTGGTTCAAAGTTGCATTGGCAGTAGCTCAAAATAATTAAATTCGGTTCCAAAGTTATAAGACGGCATTGTAACTACAGAATTCTTTCTAAAGAAAATTAAAATCACATAATTAGTTTTTTTTTAGAGATGTAATCCATGTAAGTATGGTTCAACACTCTGTGGCCCACGTACAATCTGTAAGGTAAAGTACATCAAATCAACTTCATGATTATGTGAAAATTGTTTGTCAACTTGAATATATCTTTTATGCTAAGCTTTTTAAAAAACATTTTATTTTGTTATCATTGTGAACTGTTGAGTGTTCATGTCAATCTTTAAATGTCAGTTTATTTGAATAAAATTTAATTATTCGAAATAAAATGGAAAAGCCCTTTTAAAGTATATTTTACTTTGTCCCTATAAATTCCGATCAGTAAGATATATGTCATTTTATGTTAGGTAAGTAGAGAAATTGCCCTATGCCAGACTGAAGGAGAGAATCCCATAAGCTGGAAACCTTCATGTAACTGTCCTTCAGCTGCCAGATGTGTCAAGTAGGTTTAAAACATTAACTGTTTAGTGGCAACTTGCCCTCTTAAACAGTTAAATGCAAAAATTAACAGTTAACAGTGGAATATCTTCTGTTAATGGCATTAATAAAATCGAAGTTGTTAACTTTTGGTAACATAAACAGAAAATAAAAAAAAATACTGTTAACAAACATTCTGTTCTTATCTTTAAAACTAATGGCTTCTTTAGGATTCATTTGAGACATAAAACTCTTTAAAGATCTGGAAATCCTGAGTTTGAGGCGCAAATTCAACATTCAAAACTTGTTATTTAATAATTTAAAAAAACTGATTCTGAAAACGTATCCCCCCCCCAAAGTAGGAGTAGTGAATGTCAAATTGGCACTTAAACTCAGGATTTACAGATCTTTAAAAAGTTTTATATGTCTCAAATGAATCTTAAAGAAGCTTTCCGCAACACTGCATACATAGCCGATCTTTCCCTTTAAATTGTGCAAATGCAAATAGTTTACTATGAAAATAATGTATGAGGCCAAAACAAAGAATAAAAACAATTGGTTAAAATTTTCATATTTTGCCAAAACAAATGTCAAATGAGCAAACTATCAACATCTACAGATATTGAAAATTATTGAAACTAAATTAAGATGTTATCTTACTAAGCATTAAAAGTTCTTAAATAATCTATTTTCCAGGGGAAATGGAGATCATTTCTATTGTGAATGTTATAACACTGAGGATACTCCTCCATTCTGCAAGTATCCCAAGATACAAGGAAGATCAGATCCATGTGAGAAGACTAAATGTCCAACCCTTCTTCATAACTGCCACACTGATGCTAATCCTCAATCAAAGACTTTCCTCCAGACAACCTGCTATTGTCGGGGAGGAGAAAATGATGATGGGACTTGCAGAAATACTTATAATCCAAGATTTCCCAGGTACATAAAGGAAGTGTCCATGCATTTGAAATTGACCCTCCATCTTAAAATGCCCAATCCACAGCAGTACACTTTGAATGTTATATACGAGTAACAACAAGGAAGTTACTTAAGTTTTTGGTTGAATATTCAAACGTTGAATAAATTTTATGTTAGCACAAAGTAACCATATTCTGTTCTTTAGTCCCTTTCTCTAATTCTATGAATATATATATCTTGGATAAATTACTTTACATTAGATACCCTAACAATTGCCGTAATCAACGAGACCAATCTGATTGTAAAACTACTGCTTGTTTGAATGATGAAGAATGCAGACTTATGAGTGCTAATCCTCTGATGGTCTGTATCAAAGGAAACTGTTTGGAAAACTCATTTATCTGTACAACAGATAGAGATTGCAAGTATTTCAGAAGTGTAAGTAAATTTCGAAAATACCACATTTTATTGTCAGCTGATTTCCGTCTGCGATGTAGATCAACTGTTTTCTCTTCAGTAATCAAGTGTTTAGGGTGGTGGATGTGAGGATGGAAAATGTGATCCTTGTAAATATCCAGACGTTGCATGCCCATATCCAGAAGAATGTAAATCTGATGAAGATGGAAATAGGGTACATATCTTTAGTAAAATCTAGGAATTCTTGATTTTTTAAATACCATGTTCATATGAGTAGAGATGGACATCATTTTCTTATCAAACAAACAATTTATCATAAGAGCATTCAGTTGAAAAATATAGAAAATAGATGAATAAATTAAGTAAATTCAGAAAATAAACAAATTCAAAATTTTTCTGAATTTTTCTGTTAACAAATGATGAATGAAGAAATTGAAAAAAATATCTCACTAATCTCTACATATGAGTATAAGTTAAAAATACATATTTTTGTTTAAAGGGATTATTTTGGTATTTAACCCTCATGCAATGATTAGATCAAAAATTGTTTCTATTTGTTTTGAACTAATTTTTTTTTATTTAAAATTTTTTAATAAACTTCTCTAACTTGTCTGTTTAACACATTTTTGATGTTCTAGTTATGTGATTCACCATGTGCTGATGACTGTCAACTAAATGGAGGTTTAAAAAATCTAAAATAATTTTTTAATCTAAAATAATTTTAAACGGAAATTTAGGAAAGTGTAATCCAAAGACAAAGGAGTGTGAATGCAATAATGGAGAATATCCAAACTGTAAAAAATTGAAATGCAATTCTCAGATATGTAGACCTAGCGAAAAATGTGAAGAGATTGGAAATACAATAATCTGTAGTTGTCCAAATGGACAGAATCCAAGAACAGGGTTCTGTAATTCTGAATGCAAACCATTTGCATGTGGAAACTTTGAAATCTGCATGCAGACAAGGTAATGCTAAAATTATGAGCTAAAATTTACTTTTAAAAAAAACTTTTTTTCAAGAAAACTAATTGTTTTAGATTTCTTTTAATTGAATATGTTGTAAAAATACATTTTTGGTAGTCTACAAGAATTTTGTTATGTATAATGTAAAACAAACCGCTAAATATTTTCAGCTTCTCATTGACAAAAATGTTTGTTAAAAAATGAAAATAAAAATAAAATCAATTTATGCCAAAACATTGAATTCAGGGTTTAATATCAATACTAACACAAGCTATAAATTCTATCCTTGTTACATTTGATAAAATCAAGAATATTGAGAACATGTTGAAAGAAGATAATCTGTAATTGACTTATTGTTCAGTCTTGTGAGCTACACATGTGTTTGCCAAGTAAATGACGGAAAGAGACCTCCAAATTGCAGTAGACCCCCATTGCCAAAACCTCCTACAATCCCTGAGTGTCCCAGAGGACAGAAGTGTGATGAAGGTTGCAGAAATAATCTAGAATGTCAATTATATTTTGGAAATGTACGCTTGGTTTGCTATAGACAGCAATGTGTTATCTTTGGATGTGACACTAACTCCGACTGCAACAACAAGGATGATGAATGTCTTGTTACTTCTGGTGGTAATGTTTGCAATCCATGTCAGAACAATAAATGTAAGAGAGATCAAATTTGTAGAATAAGGAAAATTTATCATCCTTACAACATCTTCTGGATTATTTCTTTTTTACCATAATCCTTACACTAAATATTATTAAATAAACAAAGATTACTTAGCCTGATCTTCAATATTAACAATACATTTAAGTCTTATAATAAAGCATAATTTACATTTAAAGATTCACAATTTGTGATAAATTAACTCTACAGAAATACAGAGGGAATTTGCAGACCTATAACTTGCCCTGAACTAGGCTGTGAACAATGTAAACGCTTTGCTGGTGTTTTAAGATGTGTGTGTCCTGACAGGTCATTAAGATATCCTGACTGTGAAAAACCAAAAGAATGCTCCCAAAGAATTAACTTTTGTGGAACCTTTTCTCAGTGTACTCAAATGGGTAGTGAAACCATTCATTGCACTTGTTTGCATGGTGGAACTCATCCACACTGCGAGGCACCTAGAAATTCCATTTGCTCTCACACCACATGCAGAAGTTTACTTTTAAGGTGTGAAGAGAAGGGTGCATTTGCACAGTGCACTTGTAGGTTTAATGGACAGCTATCCAGATGTGCATGGCCTACAAATGTGTTTCCTAGTAAAGGGAATGATGAGTGTGAAAATGATTCAGAGTGCCAAGAAACTTTTCTTGTTGACTACTTTTGTTACAAGGGCAGATGCATCATGCAGGGTTGCCGGACAAGTAAACATTGCCCCATAGGAAAATGTTCCTTTAATGGATTGTGTGATCCATGTCTGAGAAATCCAACATGTGAAAGAGAGGGCAAAACATGTTTAGTCAAAAATGACAATTTTGAGTGTCAATCAAGATGCAAGAAAAGTTGTCCTGAAAATCAAGTTTGTGAAAAAGTAAATGGAAATTATCAATGTGTCTGCAAAAACAAATTCAAACCTCCGAAATGTAAAAATGAATGTGAAAAGTGTGATGGGTCTCCCACATCATATTGTGACTCTTTCTTAGAAATATGTTTATGTAAAAATCCATTCGAGAATTTTCCTGATTGTAAATGTGATAGAGACTGTGGACCTAATAGCATTTGTCGATCAGGAAATTTTCAAGCCGCATGTTCTTGTAAGGAAGGTTTTGAGGGAAGTCCACCTAATATTCAATGTGAAGAAAAGAAAGACTGTAAAAAGAGGTGTGAGAGTGGTAAAATCTGTGCTTTCAAGAATGGCGTTGAGACTTGCGTTTGTATTAACAGAGATTGCTCCCAGTGTAGAAAGAGCTGTGGTAATGGTATATGTAGGTTTGTACCAAATACAGACAGAGAAATTTGTGTATGTGAAAATGGGGAGGATCCCCCCAGCTGTCAGCCTTTGTATGCTCCATTCTGCAAAGAACCGTGTGGTTTAGGGGAATGTCAAGTTATTGCAGATGGAGTTGCAGAATGTGTATGTGAAAATAATGAACTCACTCCCCCAGACTGCAGTCCAAGATGTAACAAAAGATGCAAGAAAAATGAAAGATGTGTTATTCAAGATGAGACTGAATATTGTATTTGCAAGTTCAGTGGAAAATCACCAAATTGTGATGATGACCCTTGTGATGCTATTTACTGTGATCCATCTGTTTCTAAATGTGTTGTGATAAGGAACATTCCCAAATGTCAATGTCATGTAGGAGGGTTTGTAGACACAAAATGTGAAGAACCTGACGATTGCTTTCAAAAGAACTGCTTACCTGAAGCTCGGTGTATTCTCAAAAACTCTAGAGCTGTTTGCATTTGTAAAAATGGAGGAGAATATCCTAATTGTGATTTTAAATGTGTTGATAAATGTCCTAAAAAGTTTGGAATATGCCTTTACAATCCTTCAGAAAAGAAAAGTGAATGTGTATGCAAGAATGGAATAGGCAAATATCCCAACTGTAAATTTGATCCTTGTTTTACAAAACAATGCCCAGCCAATTCTGTATGTGTTGTAAATGTTGATTCTGGTAATAGCCAAGTCAGATGTAGCTGTAAACCAGGATTAGCAGGGATATCTCCATTCTGCTATCCCAGTTGCAGAAGTTTGTTGTGTTCTTTTGATCAAATCTGTGTTATTAAAGACAACAGAGCAACATGTGTGTGTAAAGATGAGGGAAAAACACTCCCATTATGTGAGAGTAATCCATGTGAAAATATAGAATGTGGAGAAAAAAGCATATGTATAATCATAAATGGATTTGGTGTCTGTAGATGCAAGGATAACTCTTTGAGCTACCCTAATTGTCAAGACCAAATTGATCCTTGTCAACTAAATATTTGTGCTAGTAATGGTGAATGCAGAATTACAAGAGATGGTCGCTCCAAGTGTGTTTGTGCAAATAGAAAAGGGTCTTATCCTAATTGTGATACTCCATGTCAAATCAATTGTGGCCCTAAAAAAAAATGCTTTGAGGACCATTCTACAGGAGTAAATACATGCCTTTGCACTGACTTGACACTTGAACTTCCTGATTGCTCCCCCTCATGTCCTGATGGTTGCAATGAAGGTTCAACCTGTAGAAATGGGCGCTGTGTTTGTGATGATCCCAATAGAAGATATCCTAATTGTCAATCATGTGATGATTTTAATTGTGAGAACAGCCAATGCAGGGAAGTTAAAGGAGTTCCAAGATGTGAATGTGATGATGGTTCTGAGCCACCGTGCTTTGATTGTAAGGAAAGATGCCCTAAAAATAAAGAATGTTTCAAAGGAAAGTGTCAGACAAAGTGTAATTGCAATGAGAACAGCATTTGCCATAGGAAAATAGACACAAATGAACCATTTTGTGTTTGCAAGGATGGGGGTGTATATCCAAAGTGTTTTGAATGTAACTGTGATCCAAATAAAGAAGTCTGTGTTTTTGACAAAAATGGACACAGATGTGTTTGCAAAGGTACTTTCAGTAATAAATGCAATGAATGTGAGGATTGTGGAGCTAAAGGTGAATGTGGTATCGTTGATGGGGTTGAAAGATGTGTTTGCAAAAATTCTGAATTAATTTTTCCTGGATGTACAACAGCATGTCCCAAAAATAGAATTCCAGCTTTAACTGAAGAGGGAATAGTAACCTGTCTCTGTGAAGATTTTAAAAAGCCAATTGATGGGTTTTGTTTGAATTGTCGAAATGACAGAGATTGTGGAAAGGGGGCTGAATGCATTCAAAACGTTAGAGATGGCTCTCTAAATTGTCAATGTACAAATCCAGATAAGGTATTTCCAAACTGTAAGGAAGACTGCAAAGGACACTACTGCCCTTGTGTGGACTTCAACTGTCCTGAAGGAGAAATATGTGCTGTTTATGAAAAAAAACCTATTTGCATTTGCAACAGTGATAATAACTGCAAAAAGTGCAATCCTTCTTTAGATAGAGCTTGTAGAAATCAAGGAGGTATATGTAAAAAGATAGATGGAAAAGATGTTTGTAGTTGTGATGGTGGCACAGATATTTGTCAACTTGAATGTGACCCACCATGTAGAGGTAATCAGAACTGCAGAGCCAAGGAAGGAGGACTACCCCAGTGTGTTTGCAAAAATGGAGGTACTCTTCCACTTTGTGAAGATGATGAAGGGTGTGAAAATTGTAAAGGAAGATGTGTGTTTACAGAAGATGGGGGAAGAATATGTATTTGCAGCAATGGTGGCAATCCTCCACTTTGCACTCCAAAAGAAGTAACAGAAACACCACCATCTGAATGTGGAAAATGTAATGGAATATGTGAAACAAATCCCAACACAAGAGAAAAAGAATGTGTTTGTCCAAACAATATTAGTAGTCCCCCAGATTGTTTCCCCCCATTTGATCCGTGCAAAGATTTAGACTGTGGCAATGCAGATTGTATTATTCTAAGAAACAGGCCAACCTGCATATGTAGCGATAGAAATCTTAAACCACCATCCTGCTTACCTGGATGTGAATGTGAAGGAAATAAAATATGTCAAAATGGAAGGCAGGGAGAATGTGTTTGCCCTCCAGGAAGAAAAGAGCCTGATTGTAAGCGCTGTGGTTTAGACTGTGGGAGATCTGCATTTTGCTCAGTAGTTATCAGAACTAAACAAGAACAATGCTTTTGTAGAAATGGCGGAATCTATCCTGATTGTAAAACTGATGAATGTGACAAAACCTGCAAAGAAAATGAGATTTGTGTTTTGAAAAATGGCAAAGCAAAATGTATATGTAAGACATTTACTGATATATGTTCTCCAAATTCCTGTCAGAAAGATTGTGGTTCATCTGGCAAATGTGTGCTGACCGGAAACAGAAGAGAAAAGTGTATTTGTTTGGATGGAAGTGACAATTTTCCAGCTTGCAATGGACCATGTCAGACCAAAATTTGTAAAAATGGAAGATGCAATGTGAAAAATGGAGATGCTTTCTGTCCCTGCCCTAGTGATCCTAATATTGATGAAGATGATTCTGAATGTGATCCATGTGCTAAACTCAATTGTGAGGATAGAAGTAAGTATTAAATTGGAAAGTTATTTTCAAGGTTGTTCACACTTATATACTTTTTTATTTACAAAGGAATCTGTCTTTGCCACAAACTCTGATTTTATTAATCCCTACATCTTAGCAATCTAAAATTGTAGACCTTAGATATTTCAAACTATGAATTCTGTTAGATTTAATAACTTAAGTTTGAAATATTAGAGGTTTACACCATCAGCATGCAAAGATACAGGGATTTGAACATTTAACATGTGGCAATGACTCAATTTCTTTGAAATTGTATTTTGCATATTGAGAGATTTACTTTTCTCAGAAAATGCAGACTTTAACTGAAAACTTTAATTCAATCACTTGATATTCAATTACTTATTTCAAAAGTTCACTAGTTGAAGTTCTTTCTTAACATTTTTTAGATGGTATATGCATACAAAGAGAGAATGGAGATTATGAATGTGCATGTGCAAACTTGTACGGAAATTTTCCTATATGTAAAGATGATGAAACTGATTGTGATCCTTCATGTGAACCTAGAGGAGAATGTGTTATGGCAGGTAGGAATTATCAATCTTTCAATCTTTCTAGTTAAATATTTGATAAAAGGGTAAAGGTTTCATCCAAAATACAGTCAGTCAGTCAGTCTTTTTTATCTTTTTATATTTATCTCTTTTGATTAGAGAATTTTATTTTCCGAGAACCCTTAAATGTTGTTCTGTATATTTTGAGTGAAATTTTGACCTACAGGACATCATACAGGACATCATACAGGACATCATACAACGTTTTTGTAAAAGATACTGAACTGCATCTTACTTGTTTTTAAGGTGGTATATTTTTTTGTAAGTGCAAGGCAAACAGTGGATTTTGGCCTAGTTGTGATGGAACTGGATGTACAAGAGATTTTATTGGAAGATGTAAGCAGAAAAATGCTCAATGTGTTGTTGACAATGAAACTCCAAGATGTGTGTGCAATAGTAAAGCTGGAATATATCCAAACTGTGGGCTATCAGTAGACTGCACACCAGAAGTGACAAAAGAGTGTAGAAAAAATAATGCTGAATGTGATAATGGGGAGTGTGTGTGTGAAGACAAATCAAAAGTCTACCCCGAATGTGGTGGTAGTCAATGTACTCCTCAAGAAAAAAAGAGATGCCAAAATAATAATGCAAATTGTGTTCAAGGGGAAGACGGAGTAAAATGTATTTGTAAAGATGAGTCTAAGGTCTACCCTGAATGTGGAGGTGAATGTTCTTCAAAAGAGGAAAAGAGATGCCAAAGCAATAATGCTAAATGTGTTCAAGGGGAAGATGGTCCAAACTGTGTCTGCATTAATGGTGGAACCTATCCAGATTGTGAAAACACTAAGGATATTGGCTGCTTCTGTACCAACGGTGAATGTGTAGAAGCTGATGATGGTCGATTAGTTTGTGTTTGTAAGAATGGCGGTCTGCCGCCCAACTGTTTACCATCTCCTCCATGTCAATATAACACTTGCGGAAATGGACAATGTGCTATTTCACCAAGAGGAACCCCACTGTGTACATGTGAAAATGGGGGGATAATACCAAATTGTATCACTGGCTGTAATTGTGATAGGAATGAGTTTTGTGGTTTTGGTAAAGAGTGTACTTGCCTGTATGGCTTGAAAAATGGCAATTGTAAAAAACATTGTGACAAGAAGTGTAAAAATACAGAGCATTGTGTTGTTGATCCTAAATCTGGAGAAGAAAGGTGTGAATGTGTGTTTGATTCATCTTTGACAAGTGGGCAATGCGAGAAGCCAAAGCTGTGTTCAAAGAGATGCCAGGAAAATGAGATTTGTGTGATTTACAAAGACAATTCTGACAAATGTGTATGCTCCAATCTAGAAAACACCTGTCCCGAGGAAAAGTGCAATAACAAAAAATGTAACATCAAAGGCACTTGTGCAATTATTGATAGAGTTGCAACTTGCATATGCAAAAATGGTGCAGGCACATATCCAGGATGTAAAGGACCTTGCAGTGATGTCAACTGCAATGGATTTGGAAAATGCATTATTGAAGATAACAAGGGAAAATGTATTTGCAAGTAAGGAAACTTTTATCGTAAAGTGATGGAACTATCAACATATTTAGTTTATTAAATAAAAAAAATTAATTTAGATATGAAAAGAGCGGGGATAAGAAAACTGACTACCCTGCATGTGATAATCCTTGTGATAACATAGACTGTGGTGGAAAAGGACTATGTGTACAGGTATTCTTTATTTTAAGAAACTGTGGTTTCAAGTGACCTTCAATTCGAAATGGAACATGCCAGATCTACTAAGATACTCTTTTTATCTATATGAAAGAGTTGAGTGTTTGAATCTGACAACCATACTTATGGGTTTTGAGAGGCACAAATCACCTTTAAAGAGAAATCACTATTATTATTAATGAGTTTAAAAAGAGCTATGAATGGATAACTCATTCTTTCTTGATCAGACAAAGCTATCAAGGGTAATATTGTAAACCGGAAGTACCACTCTCTAAATGAAGAGTCACTTGAAATTAAACTTCAGTCCCTTTCAGTATATCATTTTGTTTTAAGTTTGAGAATGGACTGCCTGCATGTATATGCAAAGACAAAAATTATCACAATTTCCCAATCTGCTCAAATCCTGAAAATGTATGTGATCTTATTAAATGTGGTTCAGATGAAGAGTGTATTACACTTAAAGGTATTTTTTTATGCATTCTAGATTATTTCAAAAATCAGTTCTCTAATGGTGTTATGTCTAGAGATGGGCGCATTTGACACTTTCTTTCACTTCATTAGTTCATTGATTGTTTTTTTTTTGTGGCAGAGAAGATTTATGGCTGAACAGAATTTTTAAAAATTGCCTTAACAAATTTTGGTTTTTAAAAAATTTGAGATGTGCCCAAAGTCCAGAGTCATATTTTTGTCAGAACAATTTTTCATGTTTGTTTTCAGGTGTACCAACCTGTGTTTGTAAAAATGGAAAAGGGCAGCCTCCATTCTGTGAAGACAGGTATTTTATGATTTCATGAAAAAACAAATTGGAATAAATATATGCCAACACGACATTTAATACTAAACTTTAATGATGGGATTATAGAAAGATCTGAATTAGGGTTTCAGAAAAAGAATGATCTGGAAATTTGTTGCGTTAACCAGTATTCCAAGATAATTCTGGATCAAATGGAAACCAGAATATTTACGATTTACATGACATAATCCGGAAATTTTTCCGGTTTACGGAATGGAAACCGTAAAATTTCCATCAAGAGTTTATAATAACTAGGATTTAAAATGGCGAATTAAAATAATAATAAATTTCGACATTTTTCCTGCACAAGTTTATAAACCAGTTTTAGTTCTTCCCTTGGGCCATGTGAGTTGCCTCACAAATTTTTTCAACGATGAGCAAAGGGTTCACCAACAAACAGTCAAACGACACAGGGTCAAACGACAAAGGGTCAAACGACGCTGGGTCAAACGACAAAGGGTCAAATGACACTGGGTCAAACAACAAAGGGTCAAAAGCTCGACAAAGGGTAAAACGTCAAAGGGTAAGACGACATAGGGTAAAAAAATGTGACAAAGGGGCAAATTTTTTTTTAAATTTTACGTCTGTTACAGTTAGTATTTATTTATTATTATTTAGGGTTAGGTTAGGTTAAGACACTTTCTGGGCCAAGCGATGCGGCTAGGACAGGCTAGGGGGCCGAGCGCTGCGGCCACAGGTTAGGTTAGTTAAGACACTTTCTGGGCCAAGCACTGCAGCTAGAACAGGCTAGGGGGCCGAGCGCTGCGGCCACATGGTCAATTATATCCATGTCTAACATATAAGATCCATGTACAAAATTGTTAGGAGGGTTGCGAGTTTTCAATGATTCAAATCAAAAAATATTTTATCATTTAGACCTTTTGTCGTTTGACCCTTTGTCGCACTTTTGACCCTTTGTCATTTGATCCTTTGTCGTTTGACCCTTTGTCGTTTGACCCTGTGTTGTTTGACCTTTTGTCGGTGAATCGAGCAAAGTACATAAATAGAGTGAGAACCAGAAAACTCTTAAATAGGAGGACGACTTTTAGACTTAAATAGTTCAATGAACATGAGACACAGCGATAAAGTAATTTTATAAGTTAATACTTAACCTTTTTGCTTTGTAACAACATCAACAACATCAAATAGACTTAAGGATTGCTATATATGTCGTCTTCCTTTCCAACGTTTTCTGTAGATAAAATTATTTTGAGACATGGAAGTCAAGATTTATATTTCATTATAATTCACAGTAACCCAGAATTACGGTGGAAACCCTGATCTGAAAACAAAAAATTAAATATTGTCTTGAAAAATTCAGAAAACTCTGTGGACCTCTTGCTCAAAAAGCCTGTGAACCTGAAGGGAAGTGTGTAGTAATGTTCTTGCACCCTGTTTGTATTTGTAAATCTTCCCATGGGACATACCCCCAGTGTGCAGAGGTACATACAGGGTGTCCCAAAAAACCATGGGAATTCAGCGACAAATTGGATATCATCTTTGTTATGAATTAGCATTGTAATACCTAATTTCAAAAGCCATAATATTATTATGTCTGCTAGAGTTTATTTTATGAAAAGGGTAAAAGACTGTAAAGATGTGCTATAATGTCTCTGCAAGATGGACAGTGAAGACGGGCAAGTTTCCTGTGTGTATATACTGCAATTTTCTTGTTTTACTAAGTACAACCGTATGCAGTCAAAACATAAACAAACAAACATAGCAGACGTAACTCTAACAGATTACAGCTTTCTCAGTTGGTATCACTATACTAAATCAAAGAATTATTTAAAAGACGATATCGAATTTGTCACTGAATTCCCATGTTTATTGGGACACCCTTTACAATACATACTTGCATACATATACACTTTTCACCGTATCAATGTTATAACAAATTGTGACTTCTTGATAACTAACTATCCAAAACGTTTTCTCAAAATATGAGCAGAATGTTATGGAATATATTACAAATTAAACCGAATCGATGTGCATGAAATTTTAGACCACAAATTAATTACCATATTCGTTTAATCACACTTACAAACAAAAGTCTATGTAAATGATTTGAAAATTATAGATATTTAAAACTCTGTAACTTGTTAGCTGATCACGTATATGGGTTTAGGTTAAACCTGAATGCAAGAATAAGAGTGATTGTAAGGACGATGAGGAATGTCCTTCAAATCCAGCTGGACGAAGGTTTGTTGACAATTCAAATAAAAATGTTAATAGAGATAAGAAATAAATAAAATTTATTTGCTTTTCATAAAGTCTAAAAAGTTTAACAAAATCTGGATACTGAATAAATTTTGCAGTTATTTCCAATCCATGTCCAATAATCCTATTGTCATTTTAACAAATTTATACTAAAAGTAAAAACTGTTGTGCTGTTAATCTCTGGATTTCTGTTTCTTTTTGTCATCTGATATATTGAATTAATTCCATTTGATTATAGGTGAAATAACCTAATCTTTTAATTCAAAAGTTTCTAGAGTGGATATTGAGATGAATTGATGTAGAATGCTGCTACATCATACAAAAGTATCTATTTCTGTTAAGTGAGTGTGTGTGCCCTGTACCTAATCACCCCTCCTATGCTAACTGTGATGTTGGGGATTGTGATATCTGTAACTGTGCTCCATGTAAACAAGGACAGCAATGTACCCCGGTGTAAGTTTATGAAAGATATACCGGGGGACTAGGGTTCCAACGCAAGTGGATTTTAATTGCCCGCAATTGCAGGCCCTTTAAGGAATTGAGTATTTGCCACAAACTCTGATTTTCTAATCTCTATATCTTTGGAACCAAATGTTGTAGACCCTCGATATTTCAAACTATGAATTCTGTTAAATCAAATATTCTGAGCTTGAAATATCAAAGGTTTACAACATCAGGTTCCAAAGATATAGGGGTTTGAATATTTGGGTTTTTGGAAAAGACTCAACTACTTTCCATGCAATTCTGCACAATTCCCCGCAAAATGAGAACAGTAGCGCAAAATTCCGCGCAATGGAGTTTCTGAATCATTACCCCGCCACGGTCCAAATTTAATTAATTGTTCGAGGTCAACGAACTACCTAAAACCGGTTTAACTAATTCTCAAGTTCTCACAGGATCAAATCCTGAATCACCAAGTCAAAGCTCAAGGTTTTTAACTATCCTAATGTCGGTGAGACGCGATTCCAACCAATCGGAGCTCAGCAAATATCGCGTTTATCTATTGACAGAAAAAGAACTTGTCTCTAAGTTTCTAGGATAGTTAAAATTTAAAAACTTCAAGTTGAACCAGATATAAAATATATTCTCTGGTTCCCGAGTCTGTAATTTCTTTGTTGACAAAACAACAGTTTTTGGGAGGAACTCAGTTTGCTTACTTTAGTATTATAACAGAATTCAAAGTTTGAAATATCAAATGTCTACAATATTGGGTTGTAAAGATATAGGGATTAGAAAATCAGAGTTTGTGGCAAAAACACAATTCCTTAGCCGAATGCTTATTCTATTATTTTGTACAAAATTATTATTTTAGGTTTGAAAATGGTGTTCTACGCCGGAATTGTGGAGAAGTAATTTTTTTCCAAATTATGATATTTGAGTTCGATCATTTCTAGTTATCATAAGGGGGTTGAGGGGGTTTAACTGTAAATTTTGAATATTTAGTATGAATATCAGGCATATCTCCAAATTCGAGTCTTTTTTCTTTTGTTGTTCTTTCGTATTAACTGCTATTAATAACTCTCTAAATACCACCAATGCCCCCCCCCCTCAAAAAGCTCTTGATAGATATACAAATAAAAACTAATATAACTTTTATTCTACTTTATTTTGTAGGATACCGAGTGTGCTGAGAAGTCAGATTGTAAAAATGATCAACTGTGTCGAAAAGATAAAAACAACAAAAAGTAAGACCCAACCTTTATGAAATTTTTGCTGGATTTTCTAAAATTTTCTATTTATAGAACCTGCCAATGTCCAACTATTCAAAGTCCTGAGTATGATTCCTGTGACCCGGAGACCTGTGATCTTTGTAAATGTGCACCTTGCGAAAAAGGAGAAACATGCACTGTGAGGTAATCAAGGAAATTATATTTATTAAAAAATAATATTCCTGGCATAAACCATTGCATATTGTGGAATGTTCTAATTTACGTATCAATGTAATTATATCTGTGCTCAAACTCAAATTTTCTAATCTCTATATCATTGTAACCTGGTTGTGTAACCTTTGATATTTCAAGCAAACAAGATTATATGATCTAACAAATTTCATAATTTGAAATATCTAATAATATAAGAGTTTGCTGCTAAGAGATAGGGATTAGAATTTAAGAGTTTGTGTCTAAAACTCAATTCCTTAAAAAGCTCATTTTAGTGCCAAGAATGGAATTTTGCAGAGGTTGTGTGAAAAGGTATGTAATTTATATAATAAAGTTCTTCGCTCATAAATGTATATATATTTATATGTTAGTTAGCTGGCCAAACGACTGGACCGAATGGGCTGACATAGGCTAAAAAAATTCAATTTTTATTTCTTCAAAATTTAAACTTTTTTTTTAAGTCCAAAAAAAATTTCTTCTAAATTAAAATTTTTGTTCCACGGGCGTTGCCAGGCACTTTATGCAATATGTAATAATGTAAATATTTTTTTTAAACTCTAAATTATTCAGAAATGTAAAAGGAAGTCTGATTGTGTGTCCGACCAAGAATGTGTGGATGGGTGAGTATATATCTGCATATCTATATATCTATATAAAAAAAGTTGAAATTTTGATTGGGGAACTCGGGAGGCCCACAAGAATGTTCTTAGCTTGTTTTTAAGATTCTAAGTTGTGTGGGTGGACTTTTTTAGAGAAAAAAAGCTAAAATAGTAATTTGAGTGCAAACGTGGGTAAATTGCCAGAGTACTTGGGCAACGATGGGTTCCCAAGCTAGTATATAGATAAAACAGACAGACCTGTCTTCTTACAGGGATCCCCAAAATGATATGGCAAACTACATTTTTTTTACATTTTAAGCGATTTATAATTTTTTTAACATTCTGTAGAAATAAGAATAACATCAATTGGTTTATAAATGTAAATTCTTGTAATATGCAGGGGCGGATCCAGCTTTTTGAATGGTGGGGGGGGGGGGGGTCAAACTTCCGATAAAAACTGGGATTAGGGCCTAGCACCTTGTGAATAAATATATATGTAGTATATGTGATTGTCCTGTACCCACTGATGATCCTGCGTATGCTGGTTGGGATGTTTCAATATATAAACATATATGTAGAATATGTGATTGTCCTGTACCCTCTGATGATCCTGCGTATGCTGGTTGTGATGCTGAAGAATGTGATGTGTGTAATTGTGCTCCGTGTAAAAAAGGACAAACCTGTACAAAGACGTAAGTTAACATTCTAATATAATATTTTTACCGCCTGTTGACCAGCATTACCGACCTATGATTCAACAGAGGGACGTAAAGTAACGTCACTTAAGACAATGAAGTAAAATGACGATTCACTCTGCAAAGTTTTCATGAAAAAATTTGCGCATTTTTAACTCAAAAGACGATAACGTTGTATACTACTTTTTTGGGAAACTAAAAATTTTACTTAACCACAAGTTCCCCCTTGACCAATTTTGCCAACAAGGCATCCCTTGTTTCGTTCTTGATGTTTTGAGGTAAAATTGGTCTTGGGAACCCTTGGTGTTGGGAACCCTTGGGAACCCTTGGGATCCCTTGGGAACCCTTGGGAACCCTTGGGAACCCTTGGTTAACTAAAATTTCCTTAATTTCCCTGTAATGTAGTTGTAAATAGTTATCATACAATATAATTACTACAATTTAGAAATTTTGACATTAAACAATGAACCAATTATATTTTAACTGCTGTGAAATATGAAGACAAAATTTGGTTGGTGTTGTCTTAGCTTGAATATCATATAATCAAAGTAAAATAGGTCTGTGTAATGTATAGTGTGAAAACCCTTCAAAATAATTGGTTTTCATGTCAATAGATCGACTGTTTTAAACGATGAATTCCCAAATTTTCTAAATTCTTACAAAGTTACTATTCTATATAATAAAACAAGACATACATAATTATATATGTTGCATATAGCCGGCCAAACTGCTGGAACGATTGGGCGGAATTTTTTTGTGGACACTCATGGATGGCCGGGGGGTTGTTATAGGCTAAAAAAATCGAATTTTTTTCAAATTTTTAGAAAATATTTATTATTTTTTTCAAATTATTTTTTTCCACGGGCAACGCCGGGCCTTTCAGTTAGTATTATTTAAAACTGGTCATATTCTGTTAAAAAAATTGTCATTATTATTTCTGCTGTAAAAAGATTGAAATATATCTTTAAAACTTGAAATTTTTCTCACAAAAATTAACGAAAAGGAATTAAGTTTTTGCCCTTGACTTGAATTTTAAATTAATTAAATCATCGTAACCTGACGGCCTAAAACTTTGTTATCTTTAACTCGGACTACTTGATCTAACAGAAATTTCGAGGTCTACGACATCAAGTTGTAAAGATTTAATTCCTTTCATTCTTTGATTTGAAATAATTTAATTTTAGATTCAAAAACGGAGTTCTCAGACGAGAATGTGGGGAGGTAAAATATATATTTAATACGTATTTTTTTTATAATTGTACTTTTATCTTTTATCTTTGCAACCTAATGGTGTTAGTTTATTATATTACCAACGATATTTGTTTTTGCAGAATAATGGCATTTATCAATTTTCAAAGGTTGCAAAGATACGAGGATTAGAATATTAGGTTTCCGTTAGAAGAATGTTGAAATAATAGAAATGTTTGCTCTAGAATGTGAAATGTAAGGATAAATCTGATTGTGTAAATGATCAAGTTTGTCCAGAAGATAATAGAGAAAATAATATTGAAAGGTTTGATTTTATATTTTGAAAACTTTTAACTTTTGGACTTTTCCAAGCATTGCTTTTAGCACAAACCCAGAATTAACTGAGCTTTATAGGTTGCTTGGAAAAGCCCAGATTTCTATGCCAAAATTTTACAACGAAATTTTGTAAACTGTTTTCCATTCGCGAACTGAAATTTGAACATTCTTAGTTTTTCATTTATGCATTTTGCTTGTTTAAAATGATATGACCAAGGACTATCAAAACATGCAAAATTTATTATGACTTGCACAAAGTTTATTGTGAACAGTTTTACAGTTTGAAAAAATATTTGTATTTTTGCAAGTTTGCAGAAAGCCTTCCAAAAACATTTTACTGCTGTACTTGGACATTATGAATCTTGTTTAGAGGGTTACTCTAGCCAAGAAAGGGTTAAACTTTATATTCTTGAAATATTTAGAGAGTGTAGTTGTCCTTTGCCCAACAGTGTTGCATACCAAAACTGTTCTCAGGATGAATGTGATTTATGTAAATGTGCTCCATGTGAAAAAGGACAGAAATGTGCTGTCAGGTAAAATATCGCCATTTTATTTCTCAGTAAAATCTGTCTTTTTATTTTGCATTCGGTATTCAACAAAACTGATCACTGGCCCTGTCAAGACTCAAGTTGCAAAATTAAAATACCAATTTTAAAACTGATCACTCGCCCTGTCAAGTTGCAAAATTAAAATACCAATTTTAAAAATGGATATTAAATCATATTTGATTAGGCAAAGCTGTAAAGGGGCCCACGGGGTATTTTGAAAGAGATAGATTACTTAACATATGGTAATTTCAGTTTCACCGAGGAACTAACATTAGTCAGAACCTGTGGAAGTGACACGGTAATTCAATCTAGTTTTTATAGTTTAATCAGTGCAAGTTTTTTTTCTTTGTTTCTCCATTATATATTTATGTAGGAACTGCCCCCTTGTAAGAGTAAGAAAGACTGCATAAATGACCAAACCTGTCCTAAATCAAGTAAGAATAACCGGTGTCAGTGTAATATACCTTCTGAAGATGAATACTCGAATTGTGATCCAACAGTTTGTGATCTCTGTGCATGTGCTCCCTGTCCAAAAGGAGAAGTATGCTCGGTGTAAGTAATTCTGTTTGAATAAAATATTTTGATCACTTAATGAAGGGATTGTTAAGATATTTGATAATTTGATAATATCAGACCATACACACTGTGTCCACTATTGCTATCATACTGGACACACTAGATGGGTGGTGCGAGAAAACACTAGACAGTTACGTATCCTTGTAATATTTGGGATCATGCAATGATTGAACTCATGTACACAATACCTCTCAGCCACTCCTATTCTATGATAGGGACAGTGCACAATAGAGGAGGTGTAAGTTATTACTCGGTTTCACCTAACTGCAGGAACTTTCATGGATGTCGTTCGTCCAAACTTGGATTATAGTATCTAACTCTCTATGTTTGAGCCTTAACACTACTGAAACAGATATCTGACTTACAGGGGATGATTCTTTTTGCATACTGTCTCATTTTGCCATATGCAGTCTGCACTGTATCCTTAAGATCAAAATGTTAATAATCTGCGACAAATAATCCTTTAGTTACAGACTTTTTGTCCCTTACTTACGTATTAAAAATCTGAAAATATAAAAGAGAAAAAATCCGTAAATTGACGATAAATTGTCTCTAAGTAAGGTATAAAAAGTATCAAACTTAGCGACAAAAAATCAGTGATTAAAAATCCGTTACTTTCTCAAATAACGGATTTTTTGTCACTGATTAAAAGTAATTTCATTATTTAACGATTTTTAATCTGCGACAAAAAATCATCCACAATTATCAATCATTGAAAGGATGACGCAGCTGATTTTACTCTGGTATTGTCAATGCCGAGTCGGTCGAGTTCGTAGAGTCGAGATGTCTGGTAAATAATTAAATTATATTTTAAGCCGTGCCTGTACGTGTAGACTGTAAAGTTTAGGATAATGTACTCATTGACCTTTCTTTAAATTATCAACTGGTTTTCTTTAAAAGTACGTCATCAGCTGACAATATTTGTGACCAAGATTTGACAAACTGAAAACAGAATGAGAAATCAGTTCATCGGACTTGAAATTGTAATAATAATATATAATTATAGAAATAGTTTTTTTTATATCACCAACTAATATATTTATATATGTAATTTATTCGAGTTGCGCACAATTAATGCTTTATTTGATTTGTTGCTAAGAAAATCCAATTGAATCTAGTCTTTTTATGTAGAAAATTTAGGTTGATTGGTAATTTCCTAATAAACGATTTTTTTACCCCCCCCCCTCCCCCTCCTATGATATTTTTTACATGGATCTTATATGTAAGACATGGATATAATTGACCATGTGGCCGCAGCGCAGTCCCCCTAGCATGTCCTAGCCGCGGCGCTCGGCCCCCTAGCCTTTCCTAGCCGCAGCGCTTGGCCCCCTAGCCTGTCTTAGCCGCAGCGCTCGGCCCAGAAAGTGTCTTAACTTAACCTAACCCCAAATATACACTAATTTTGTTGAAAATTGTTGAAAAAGTGGTCATGTACAAAATTTATAGGAAGGGGGGGGGGGGGAAAATCGTATACTAGGACCGACCCGGTTGATTATTATATTTCCTTAAATCAGCAGTTAGATTTATGATAATTGTAAACGTTTGCAAATGCAAGTTTGTTTAGCACAGTTTTATTTAAAATTATAATTTCAGAAATAAAACTGAAATGGAGGAAAAATTTAAAGAAGTGTCGGCCGGAAAGCCAATCCTAGTCTAGAATGTCAAGCTTTAAACTGTTAAATATGTAGAGGCTGTCATTATCAAGGAGACGATGGACACGGTTCTGTCGAGCGTG